AGAATATATTTATCAATAACAAATCATGTCAGATTCCCTTAATTTATCCCTTGAAAAGGCACTGACACTGTGGATAGGGAAGAAACAGTAGATGTGATATATTTTTAACTTTCATGCTATGTGAAATGACTTTTGAAATAAGTAGGGAGATATGGATGAAGATGAAATGATACAAAACTGTTGATGATTCACTGTCAAACTATAAAGATGTATTGGTGGGGGCTAGACACATCCCAGTGTGTCTGGGGTGATATTCAGTGTTGTCATGGCTCATTCAGATGATAGAATGGAGAGCACGCTTAATAATTTCTTATTCATTATCAAGCTGGGAGGATCTGAAAGCATTTTGGAGGATAGGATTAGAATTCAAAATTTTTTTGACAGACTGGAGAAATGGCCTAAACTAACTAGGAGTATTTATGTGTAATCCCTCTGGTGTATACAGTTTGTGTTAGATTGTGACTAGATGGGGAGAGTTCAGAATAGGTCAGCAGGAATGACCACAGATCTAGAAAGCATGGTCTGTGAAGAAAGGTTGAAAACTCTGGGTGGTCAGTCAGGGGGAGGGAGGTATAGGACCCTTCAAATATGTAAAAGGCTGCTGCAAAGAGGCAAGGAATAAACTGTTCTCCATTTCCAGTGGAAATAAGGCAGAAGTAATGAGCTTAAATGACAGGTAGGAAGATTTAAAACAAACATTAGAAAAAAATTGCTGACTGTAAATCCTGAAATGTATTGCCTGGAAATGCTCAGGATTCTCCATCATTAGAGATTTTTACAAACAAGGCAGACAAAAATCTGTCAGAGAGAATTTAGATACAGTTGATCTTATTTTGGATTAGGGGAATGGATCAGATGGCCTCATAAGATTCCTTTTGGCTGATTTTTTCATAGTTAACTGTTTTGGTTAACTGTTTAGTGAAAGAAAACCTCATGGAAGGATTTTTTTCATAGGTCCTAATCCCATTTCATTCTTGAAAACAGTGCAGAGCACCTCATGAAAATCTAGGTGAAAGACATACTTTTACCACTAAGCTTGGTATTTCTATCACTTCAAGTGGGCAAAAAATCATAAAACGTTGCTGTTTATTGTGCATATATTATAAATTTACTTAACTGCGGCACTTTTGATACGGTCTTGGAGAAGTCCATAGACTGAGACTGCAGGCACCCTAAAGTGTATTCATTGAGTGTTATGTTTGAGCAGTTCCTGCTCAGAAGCTCTAGCATAGTTCTTTTGGATATAAAGATTTACTGCAGGTATTTAATATGAGACACATGAGACGACAGTTAAATTTTTGTGGTCTGTTCAGTAATAGATTCTTAGAAACCATAGGTTTTAAAAGAATATTTCAGTACTCAAATGGTTCCATCCAAATAGCACCATGACATGTTATAAAGTCATGTGGATTCAGGTAGGATTTGTAAGTTATCTTGAAAGCCTGGTAGAGGATCTGGTCCAAAGATCACCACTCAAAAGGCGTGCATTGTTGTTGCCATGGTATGAATGTCTTATGCTTGCACATATCACTAACAAACTTACTTAAGTGATGTAGATATTTCAGTGACTGTACTGTAATGCTAAAAGATGCTCTTATGCGTGAAAAATCTGTTCTAGCTGTTAGCCTTTTTTTAAGATTAAGCTCTTCAGCATAGGTACTGGTCACTACAGCTTCTTTGTACTGTGCAACAGAATCATAAAATCCCCATTGTAACAGACATCTAGAGAACATCTAGTCCATCTCCCACTTGAAGCAGGACTATTGCCAAAATGAGATCAGCTCAACTACTGCTCTGTTTAGCCAAGTCTTGAAAACCTTGATGGACTGAGACTCCACAGTCTCTGTTCCAGGGCTGCTCCACCTTCCTAGTGAAAAACTATTTCCTTTTCATCTGCTATGAATCTCCAAAGCTACAACTTTAGGCCATCCCCTGGTTTTACCATGCAGCACTATTGAGAGAAGTTTGATTCCATCACCTTTTAACTCATCTTCAAGTAGTTGCAGGTTGCTATTGAATTGTCCCTTAGCTTTCGCTTCACAAGAGTAAACAAGTCCAATTCCCTCAAACCTCTCCTTATGCGTCAGTGCCAGAGGCCCATAAAAAACTTGAAAGCCATCTGCATGACCATCTCCAGTTTCTGAATATCCTCTTAAACTGAGGCACCTCTAAACTGCACATTGTGTTCCAGGTATATATGGTTTCAGTCAACAAATACAGTTTCAGTTTTGCTTAGTGTTGCAATAGAGGTAATAATCAAAAGCATTAGTCTAAAATCAACACTGAGTTTCTGAACAAAGCTGTTCTGTTATATGAAAACCAAAGGGGGGGGGGAACTGCAAAGAAGTGAAAGAACCTTCTGAAAGTGTTTCATAAAAAAAGGTTATTTGGCTTGCCTGAAATCTTGAAAGATATTACATATGGCCACACATGTGACTTGTGTGCAGATTGACTTAATTTAGGTCAACTTTGGCAGGCCACTAAAATAAAAAATTGGCAAGAAAGCTCATTTCGAACTGAAGGATGTAGATTGATGTTTTAAAGTAATTAGCAGCTATAGCCTTGTTGTTGGAGTCTGTAAGAAACTCAGTGAAGCAAAATATTCTTGTGAAGAAATTATACACCATGAGTTGGCACGGCTCTGTCCATTGAAAGATCCTTTTTCCCTTTTGTTTAGAGTGTGTCCACAGAAGAAAGTGTGTGTTACAGCTCCAAGAGGGGCCAAGTATGGCCTGCTGTGTTTCTGGAGCACAGGATGGGTCTGGCTAAAATGAGTCCCCATTGCTCTACCTCCCTCCTTTTCTCTGAGTGCTTTACAGTCCCCGGTGCAATGTATACTCCTGGCATAGCAGCCCCTCCCTGGGCGCTGAAAGTCTCAGACCCAGAAGCTCACACCAGCCCAAGTCCTTACTCCTCTTCGAACATTTTTAGCTCGTGTTCTCTCAGTCTCTGGCAATTCCTGGTATGCTCTGATCTCTACACAAATGCTAACCATTGTCTGCAGCTTTCTTCAGCTAGAAATGAGGCTCTTAGGTCCCTTTTATTCTGGCTATTTCTAATTAAAATAGATGAAAGGAGACAAGTGGTGGCCCTTGCCTATCTGAAAGAAAACATTGTATAAACATCATCAAGGGGGAAATGCTCTATAAATGTTTATAGAAGGCATTCTAAAGACATAAATTAGGGCATACTGGTTTTGAGTGTATTATTATCAAGCTGTGACCGCCAAGGAAAAAAGGCATAGCCATAATTTACTAAATATAATACCTTGTATTAATAATTATAAATTTCATACAGGCTTAAGTGCCTTGTAAGTTGCTGCCCTGGTTTAGAAGTACATATCTGCTTAATGATGATTATAGCATCACAAGCTGTAATTCAGAACTGCAGGTTTCAGCAAAATAATCTGGTATTTGGGATAACAGATTTGGATCCATCAGATGGCATGATATTTGCACCTTTTTGCACATTTTTGAGTTACATATTTTATAGATCAGACACTGTTTACAGCTACATAAAATATCACTGTACACAGTTATGAAATGGTGAACATAATTGTTCAGAAAATCATAAGGCAGAATGTAATCTTAAGAAAAAGAAGTTTGTGTATGTTTGGCAGGAAAAAGTGGGAAATAAGCAAATGATGGAATTGAAGACAGGAGAATTTTAAGTGTTTGCTATAAGCAGGCACTGAGGAAGAAAGCTCTCTTTGCAGAAAAAACCAGCTTTCTCTAAATGAGTTAAAAACACGGTCTTTAAAAATGCTTGTGTTATCTGCCTGCACATTCTAGGTAGTCGATGATAGAATTAAGTTGATTTGCTTAAGGTGCTTAGAAAAGGTTCTGAAAAATAAGTCATGTAACAGGCAGGATCCAGGGCCATGACCTCAGAGCCTAGTTAATTCTGCCAGCACTGTTGAAAAGATTTCCATATGGTTGTACTGACAGCTTTACCATAAAACAGAATTATTTGATCTTTGTTAATTTATACAATCAAGTGGGTAAAGGATGCTGCACTTTTGTAAATATTTAAAAAGAAATATAGTTAATACTGAAAATTGGACTTAAACTAATAACCTGACTGGCATTCCAAGGTACTGCCATGAGAGATTGGGTTCAGAGGCAAGTTTTATGACACATCACACTTTTTCTGAACTTTTCTCATTCTTTTTTCCTTGGACTAGTATTTAGAATTTGGCCTTTGACCAGTGTTCAGGAGAGCAGTCCTTGAAAGTTCTTGTCATTGACAGGGATTGATGGCTAATCATGGATGGTTCTGTGCTGGAAAGTTGCATGACTTGTAAAGGCATTTACAAAATACACTCTTTTTTTCCATTTAGTAGTTGAGATCTACTAAACCAGCCATTTCTTCAGTGGCTTGATTCTGTCAAGCAATAACTAAACTGAGGAAATGGCTATATGAAAATATATACTGGTGAACCATTCTAACTTACTTTCATATTCCTGTTAATTTGCTGCAGAAGGACAGGTTTGACATCGTCACCCATGATTTGTTCTGTTTGACAAAGCAGACAGCTTCGACTTACTTAGAGATACTGTCAGGTATTATTAACAAGACCCAGACTGCTCTTTACTGTTAAATTTCAATGGATTTGCAAAGATAGGAATGAAAGAAAGTATTTTTCTTTTACCTCTTCTACATAGAAAGATTTTTTTTTTGTATTTTTGGAGACAAGAAACTGTAGAACCAGTATGTCAATGTATGCACTACAGTAAATGCCACCAGAAGGCTTTTGGTGTTCCTGATTTCAATTCTGGTTCCTGTCAGAAAATACAACATAAGTGACAGTAATATGTTAGCCACCCTGGCTTCTTGGGGTGATTTCATTCCCTTAACTATGATTCTGCCACATGTGTCTTTGACGTAACATTCAGCTGTATATCTTTGGAGCAAACAGGAGGCATTAGGGCCTCTTCACCTTCACAATTGTAACACAGAAACCTACTGGAAGGTCTATGAGTGTCTTTCATTTGTTTCAGAGGACCATCCAAAACGGAAATTGTAATGGAGAATGAGGAAATGCAGCATCAAAAGTGGATGAATCTGCACTCAGACTGGAAGAATAAAAATGCATCCACTTTACATGCACTTCTAGTGAATGGGTAAGTAAAAGGTAAATGAGATTTATTTCACTGCTGTGGGTAGTCACTTATCAATGGAGGATGGCAAACTCCCTTTGGTAAGCTCTTTTTTTCCAAGGTATCTGTGTATAAATCTCAGCGCATACTCATGTGAGTTGTTAAGATACAGTCTAAAATGATTTTAGTGTCTGCTACAACTGTAGTCTCTTTTGAGTCCACCATGTGAATCCTCAGGGGCCCATGGGGCCCATTCTGCTAGACTAACAGCATTTGAGTGACATAGAGGTGATGCCCTTGAAGCACCCGGACCAGACAGCTTCATTAAATCCCTGCTGACCAAGAAAGTCCAATAAGTACTATATTAGCAAAACCTGCAGCAAAATCTTAGAATCCTCTGCAGCCTGTGTAGTTTTGGATTCATACATTTGGAGTACCCACAGCTTCTTCAGCAGAAGCTATATCCACTTACAGTAGGTTTCCTTAGCAGCTTTTCTGGCTTCAGATGATGGTATATTCTTTTTAATTAACTTGACTAAACAGGTCATTGGTAATGAGAAGCCAGGATCTCATAGCTGAGACATTCAAAGTGTGACTTAGAGACTGAAGAGCCAATGAACTCAAACATCCAGGACAAAACTAGGAGAGCCACCTAATCCCCATCTGCAACTGCATTCTTCAAACAGCAGATGCATTGTGTCCCTGTTCTCTTTCAAATGCCTAGGAGATTTCAGAACATCCTTCTTCCATAGAAATTCCTTCTGTTTTACAAGGAAAGACTCTCTTGGCTAAATGCAGAGGTACAACGTGTGTGAAGACACAAATCTGAGGAATACACCTACTTTTCTTTTGCTTGGCTCCATTATTCTCTGTAGTCAAACTTTTCTGTAATGGCAGAATACTAAAAAGATTGTGTCTGCAAGTGCCTACTTTTGCTTTCCTACATCTCAGCTTTGTACTAGTTCTGGTTTACATCAGTATTTTCCCCATTCATTTAAGTTCATTTTTATTTTTTCATCTAGAAGGGCTATTACAAGTTGGTGCCTGATACTTGACAATTTTCTTTTTAACTCTTTTCTTTTCCTTTCTCACTGTCTCTTTCCACTAGCTTAATGGTATCTAAATGCTTTTCTCCAGGGTAATAAAAGAATAAACACCTTGGGTTGTGACCAGATGCAAAGGCAGGTTCACTATTGTATTCTGTTCAGTCACTGAAGTACAAAGCAGAAATTTCAAGGTACTTTGCCATGTTTGAAAGTGGTCTGCTAGGAAGTATGTGTGAAGGGATGGATTTGGAGCCTCTGAGTTAGAAGATCTAGTAGCAAGAGATCTAGTTTCACCCAAAGTACAAGTTAAAGGAGAGAAAACATCATTAATGAGGATTATTGATAAAGCTATTGCAGAAATGAAAGTTATCTGTAGGAACAGATGTTCCAGTCTCCCTGAATGCAGAAAATGAGTAACAAGAAGTGAGAAGCTAAGGCCATGCATGAAGAGTAAGGCTGGTTTTGTTTTGGCTGCAACAGGCATCCTGTCTAGATGGCTCTCACTGGCTGTGCATGCACTGCAGATCAGGTGCACCCCATATTGATCTCCCAGTCATCCCACTGGAGGACCTGCAGGCCTGCCTCACTTCGCATGTGCCTGGCTTGCTTTCTAGTATAAAGCAAATTGCACGGGGGACAATATGTGTTTAGTCTCTTCCTAACATGAAGCCAAGACAAGGCTCAGGAGCTGGGAAGTGCTTCTGAGCCCTGCAGTCTAGGTGTATTCATCTGAATCAACTTCAGCATGTAAAACATCAGTGCTGTGGAGTATGTTGTATGTTTAAAGGAGCTGTTGGGCTCCTGGACTACCAGGAACTTGGACAAGAACTAACAAATGGACCACTAGTTTCATAAAGTTTTGATAAGAGGCAATGGCACAGTACAGGCTATGCACACAGAAAAGCCTGAAGTTACGTCTTCTAGAGCTGGCTATTTGATAAGTCAAAGAAATGAGTGTGAAACATGAGCGTGGCTGGTCTCAGTTATATTCTGTATTTTATTTTTTTTATGGAGCACAAATACCCCTCAAAATTGTGCACAGAATTTTCTTCCCTGAAGTTGGTTGTCTGTCTCTAGAAACAGAGTTTTATGGTCTGTGTTTTCAGGAACAGAAAGTAGACTAATTTGCTTGTATATGAATGGGGTATATGCAATGTAAGGGACAGAGGTCTGGTCAAATCACAGATTCAAGCTAATCTGATGAGCTTGCTGGCACTCTGTTGTTGTGCCCACATTAGTATCTATGACTTAAAATCAAATACAGCCTCTTTTTAGGTCGTTGCAATTTTAAAGATACTGCCTACCTACTGAGATTACAGCCTTCAAAGAATTACCTGGGAAACAGCTAACTTGTGTATCCAGTCTAATTTAGCTCTGCATCTGTCTCAGGAAAGCATGTATATGGTAGGAATGAAAAAGTGGTGGAAATAAAAAGGCAGCCAGCTAGTTGAGCAACAATGCTCACTGTTTTAACAAGGATCTCCCTTCCTTTGACAAAGAATCACTTCTTTCCTCTCTCATCTGAAAATTTTCAACGGAAATGATAATTTTTTGTTGTTTTAATACTTACTTTTGCAAACTTCCTGGATTTTTTCAAAACACCCAAGCTTTTAGGGCATGAAAGGTCATCTGTTATCAAAGGTATTTCAAAGAAAATTCTATCCTTCAGCTGTAAGGAAGAGGAGAATAGCAATATCTGTCCTGTCAGGTGCCATAAATTAAGACTTGACAAACTGTACCTCCCAGCTGACCTCAGAGCTGGATCAGTGCCCAGAGAGCAAGGTAGTCTGCCAAATATGTAGAACCCACTCATGAAATGCATTGTAAAGCTGAACTAATATTTTGAATTATCTCCAGGCAGATGCTGGAAACCATGTATGATCTGGCATAAGAAGTTCCTTCTGTTTCTTTTTACCATTTGGGGGAATTTTTAACAGCTGGTTCATGAATACAATACCTATGTTGATTTGCAAATTACCAAAAATTACATCAATTAATTGAGATTTCCACCATGTTCTTGTTTCAATATTTAGACAGATGTGTCGAAGCAGAAGCAAAGTGGCTCTCCTTTGCACTAAAGAAGGTAAGAGAGAAATGTATATAAAACAAAGATGTTTTTCAAGATGTGTTAAATTACTTTAACAAATGCAGATGTTTAGTGCAGATTCATTCTGAAATTTGACTAGACTTCTGCAACATCCAGTTTTGCATTGGTTTTTTTTTCCCCTACTCTATTCAGTTTCATCAGCTTTTCTTATTTTTTGACTACGAGGCTGTGTATTGCGGTAGCCCAGTCCTGCTCCCACAAAATAAATTTTGTCAGCAGTCAGGTTCCAGAAATTCATTTGGTAAAACTTCCTACTGAAAATATCCTTAACCACCAGAGTGGCTATCTGCTTGGGAGTTCAAGCTGTAATCTGTTTAGTTGTGAAGCTCAAGGGGACAGAAGAACCTGAAGTAGAAAGCTACAAACCAAGTCTGGAAGCATAGCAGATTGTGCAAGTTTAAGCGGTTTGAAAATGCAGAAATGTTCTACAGACAAGGAGAATTTTGCTGAAGAACACTTAAATTAGGAATTAGCTTGACACAGGGAAAACTAATCACAAAGCATGACCTAGATTTGGGAAACTAATCAAAACATTTACTACTCTTATCAGAAGAAAAACCAAAACCCTCATAGGAACCTGTCAAAAGTGTTTGCTTCTGACATATGTTGCTTTAAGTACACTTAAAACACTTTGCCCTCTGAAGTTAAGTGAACACAGTAAGAATTACAAGTTACAAATAACCATTGCTCCAATTTATTTCTTCACCACTAAATTCCCACGGATATATGCAATGGCAGCTTACCCTCCTTTGGGAGGCTGCTGCAGAAACTGGTGGTGTTCTTCTGTTCTCTAAATCAGACTGAGTATAAACAGGATAAATAATGTCTGCCATCTTACAAATCCAGAATATAAAGTGAAACGAAAGTGAGGGGCTAACTATTTCAGAAAAGTAACTATCTAGCAGATGGGAGTCTGGTATAATTTCCAGTAGAAATAAAAGTAGATATAAAGTAGAACGGACAGATTACTGGAATGTCTTCAGATCTTCAAATATTCTCCCTTAATAATTTCCACAGGCAAAGCAAGCTTGGTGCCATGTAGCTGAGTAAACAGTGTGACATTCACCTCACACCTGGCTTAAGAAAAGCCTTATTATTCCTGAGCAGCTTTTCCAGAAGCAGTTCTTAGGGACAGGACAAAGTAGCCCAAACACACTGCTAGCTGACAGAAAGACAAGGACGCAAACCCAGGACATCTTCCCAAGGGCAGCCTGGTAACTCCTGAGAGAAAGGAAGTCAGGATCCCAAACTTAGCTTGGTTAATACTTCAGGCTGAGCCGGTCAAAGTTAGTATCAGGAGAGCAAATCCCAATATTAAGGAAGGATGAAAACAGCTCAGTGTGTTTGCTATGACTGTGGTGGTGTTGATGACTTGATTTACTGTCTTGCTCAGTGTAATTTCATGACTCTGTTAATATCGTTCTGTGCCCAGTTTTCTTGCAGAAGGTCTTGTATGCACTGCCTTTGTGGTCATGATTAACTGCCTTCTGCATCTGTTCCTCACTAGACTGCGGCCGTCGCCCAGCTGCTCGCATGAACAAGAGGATCCTTGGTGGTAGGACCAGTCGCCCAGGCCGATGGCCATGGCAGTGCTCCCTGCAGAGTGAGCCAAGTGGACACATATGTGGCTGTGTTTTGATTGCGAAGAGATGGGTCTTGACAGTAGCACACTGCTTTGAAGGGTGAGAGGGTTCAAACAGTTTTACTGTTCATAAAAACTTGCACATGAGAATTACCAAGTCCTTCCCCCTTTACCAAACACACTGCGGGTGGGTGATGACCTTTGCAGAATGGCACATCACAGAGGCCTGGTTTTAAGAGGCTAAAAAAGAAAGTAAATGGTGTAAAACGGCATCAGCTTAGGCTTTCACATGCTTTATTATTCATTGCGGGCGGCTCTACTGATGAAAGCTAAATGAAGATGCCCTGACATTCAGCAGGAAACGGGAAAAGGAAGAAGACCAAAACACTAATCCTATAGCTGTCATACAACTGCCATAGATTAAAAAAAATCATTCTGGGCACCAGCATAGAAATGACCCTGGAAAAGTGCTGTGGCCATCAGTAAAAATAAAACCTGAGTATTTACTCACAGTGCAACTGACATATTGAAGTGGCTGCCTTTTCTAATTATAAGGACTCCACTCCTTTATTAGGATTGCAATCATTAAAAAGTCAGTATCTGAGGCCCTGTGGTGGATGGACAGTCTGAAGTGCAGAGGAAGTTTACATGTCTTAGGAATTGTCTTGGTCATGGTCAGCTTTTTGGTGCTAACAAACATTTGTTTTTAAGTTGGGTTTCCAAAGATAATTGAAATATGTGTTTTCTGCTGTAGTTAGCAAGTACTTTCCTGCTACACAGCTGTCATCGATGCTTAATCCTGCTTTAAACTGGTACTTGCTCACTGGAAATTATTTTAGACTCCACTAAGCACATTTCTTTCTGTTCAAGCCAGCAGAAATTCTGTGGTAAGCAAGTATCTCTTGACTGGTATTTCTTTATAACATTAATCGTTCCCTTTTTCAGTAATAATTTCATCTTTTTATTTCTGAAACACTGAGTTCTTTGGTATTTGTTGGGTTTTTTTTTTCTTTTTTTTTCCTTTTTTTTCCCCTGGCTCTTTATGGAACTTGTGGTAAGGACAAAGTTTGTGGCTTTTGTGTCCGAGCCAGAAGACGTCAGGCAGGTGATAGTGCGCGTATCTCAAGGTGTGAGGCTACTAACTGAAATGCTAGAGGAAGTGACATTGGAGAGACCTCAGTTCTGACTATCACATCATATCAAGCCCTGAGGACGTTCAAGAACTGATTCCATTCAGAGAGAAGAAAAGTAATAACCAGAAACTTCGAAGAGTAACCTAGATAACCTTCCTTCTAAATTAGCAAAGTGCTAAACCTGAATAATACAAACAAGAATATTGTATTTATCAGATTTTTGGGTCCTGCACAAGGAATTTTTCTTCTTTCCCCATCTGTTTTTAAGTAAAGCTAAGCAGTATCTGGAATATTTCTTTACCTTTGGAAGAACATTTTCTGGTGATCTAAAATAAAGGGTGGGATTTAGAGGTAGATCCTTCAGCAATATGGGACTGCTACTGAATTTCACGGGTAAGAGATATCTCTCATTAGTGAAAGATAAGCACAGAAGCTGTGAAATTTATAAAGTAAAAATTCTCCCATTTTTGTCAAATGCAGAAACACTGCCACTACACTTTGGAACCGTTCATTTATGCCTCATTCAGGGCTATGTGAGCTCAGAGTATTATGTGTAAAAGGTCTCTTTTGCATTTGTATTCTGAATGCCTTAAAGTACTAAGATATTTTGGTTTAATAATTCATTGAGGAGTTTTATGAACTTTTTTCTCTACTGCCTCTCTGAACAGAGGTGAGGGTATGTTCCCAGTGGCCTGAAATCTTTAAATTCTTCATTTGTATAGCTTGATACAGCAACAGCAAGATGATTCTTGATCCCACAAAGCTTTCTTGATAAAAGTGTTTAAAAATTTACCAAACCACCAGATAAGCCAACAATTAAAACAGATGCTCTAGTGCTTTAGACAAAATGCTCCATTTTGTGAAGTATTTTTTGAAGTTCACGTGACGTTTGGGATACAAATATGAGAACCATCTAACAATAATGCAGCAGAAAATATTAATGCAAATAGTCGTATGAGTACTTGTGGAGGGCATAAATGGAAAGAGCTACGTTACACAGCGTGTCCTTTGCTAGTTTTATTAGACTAGTCCCCAGACTTTTGCCAAGATTGTTTTGAAATGCATTACACGAAAGCATCCAAGACATTAAGGTTTTTTTCTTGACTGTAGGACAATACGTTCTGGCTGTGACTGCTCATTGCTCTGAGCAATGCTTTTTTGCAGTGTTCATAAACGCAATAGCTTATGAATATTCTTAGCACTTAATACTGTAACTTTATGGAAAAACTCACAAACTGATCATGATGGTAAAATGATCATTATAGTCTGAAACACCAGAATTTTCATGCAACTCAAGATAAAAATAGCCTTTATTTAGCAATCAAATCTCTTTCCAAATTACAGAAATTACAATCCTGTCGAGTATTGTGAAAAAGCTGAATTTTTGCATGCTGTGATTTACACTGCTTTAAGTTTCAATCTTGTCAAATGTTCTTAGTTACATGGAATGGTCTTTCATCAGTTGTTGTGAAAAATGCTCACTTTTTGGAGGGTTTTTAGAATTACAGACTAATTAGGAACCTGTGACTTATCATATGACCAGTTATGATCAAGAGATTACACCCTTGAAGTCCTTCATAAAGTCTTTGTTTTTCTCATGTGGCTCAACAGACACTAGTTCAGTCTTCCCACTTGTATCACATGCATCATTTTTCTAGTGATCTTGGATATTTACCAGAAGAGTCTTAAACAACTGTAAGAGTCAAAGTAACCTTTGATTTTAGGCATACGAAGTATGCTTGGCACAGACTGAATGCCAAATAAATAAGGGGCTTTTCCCATGGCTATCATGAAAGATTTAGTTTTCATGATAGAATTGCTTCTTGGAGACTCCTTTGGGATTTCAGTTAGACTTACTGCTGTCAGGAGCATACTACTGAAAATAGTCACCCCAGAGAAATTTGTACACGCCTACCAGTGAGCATGTGAGCACCTAAAACTTGGGCAGGATCCAAGGGGTCATTCTGAGAGCCTGTGGTACTTAATACAGCAACTAATAGGTGGTTACGTATCTTCTGAAGGTGTGCGCTTTAATTCGTTTGGTAACATGCAGGAAGGAAATGGAAAGCATTGTCTTTTGTTGCTCAGCTCGTAGCTGTACGTAGTGATGCTTAAGTGTTTGTTTTTTCTTGTAGCATTTGTATGCGCAATGCTTTGCAAAGCGCAATGTGCAAAAAATCAGCCAGAAAGAAATTCTCAGGTATTTCAGCTCAAGAGAATCCTCTTGATTGAAATTTCCCATTTTCCCTTTTTTACACAGGAGAGAAAATGCAGCTGTTTGGCAAGTAGTGTTTGGGATTAGCAATCTTGATCATCCATCAGGTTTCATGCAGACCCGATTAGTGAAGACAATTATCCTTCATCCACGCTACAACAGAGCAGTTGTAGACTATGATATCAGCATTGTGGAACTAGACAAGGATATCAACGAGACAAGCTATGTAAGACCTGTCTGTTTGCCCAGCAAGGACCAGTTAGTTCGGCCAGATACCTACTGCTACATCACAGGCTGGGGACACATGGGCAACAAAAGTAAGATGAATACTTCTGGGACTCTTGGAAAAACATGTTAACCTTCTACTGAGTTAATCAAATAAGTGATCCCATTACAAAGCTTTATCCATTTATGCTATTACGGGACATTATTAAATACTAGGGAACTGTAACTATTCATGGAAGGATCTACATGTGACTAGAGCCTAGCTTTTTCCAAATCTGCAGCCTGAATTTATGCTCCTTAATCCTTATTAGACAAGTGGCTTGATTTTCAAAATTGTTGAGGATCTAGAAACTCCTATCAAGAACGTCACCTGAATTGGTTTTCATTTTACTGGTTTAGGTTGTATTCAGAACTGTATTGAGAAGGTATCAGATCATCGGGGCGGGGCGGGCAAGATTCAGTGAAAGCGGAAGGCACTGAAAGCATTAGCATACAGGCTGCACGAACCTTTTCTTTAATCAACACTGTGTGTCACAATTTGGACTTGTGACACGATTTATTCCCTCCACGCATAATCACAAGTGTTGTTTTTGTCGCTCTGAACAGAAGGTGTGTTTTCTTGTGCTGGGGCCACTGCAATCCTTGGGTTCCATGACAAGAACAGTTGTGTTATGTAAATATTTGTTTAGACAAAACAATTCTGTATGCATCATATGCAAATTATCCTGGCCCCAACCCTGTTAATGCTCTAGCTATTGTGTTTCTCCCTTCGCTATTATAGTAATTGCTAGGGAAAGCCATTGTTCTGTACACTGGAGAAGAAATTTTTCCTTTGAACACCCCACCCCCCCACCCCCCCAATGCTTTTGGACCACTGGTAAGTGGAAGATTCTTTCTCTATTGTGGTTTCAGCATTGGTTTTAAAGGTTTTGTGTCATGAAGCATCAAAAACGATCATGGTTACACAGCATTTAGTACTTCATGCCCTAGGTTGAAGAACTTTCCTTAGAAGTTCAGCTTGGTCAGCTGTTTAGACTAGGAAGAAGTCCTTTATTGTCTCCTGAATGCGCTAAAATAATTTCAAAAACCTTTGAATTCTGATTCCCTCTAAGATACACTAAGTCCAAGTTACCCAAACATAACTCAAAATGGCCGTGATTATACCAAGCTTTACCACTAGAGACACTGAGAAACAGGGAGATCCTGCCATGGAACAGTGAGTCAAACCTCTCCTCCTCCTCCTTCACATTACTGTTTTCCAGCCAGTCCTGCCCCCATCTTCAAAGTCCCACACCTTATCACATAAAGGTGCTCTCCCCCTCAGTCTGTCAGTGCGAATGCATGTTACATGGCAAGTGTCACACCAGTCCCCATGTGCCTGGTCCTTCTCCAGAATGCAACACATACACTCCTGGCTCAGGAGCATGACAGTCATGAATCCTGCAATGCAGCACTGCAGAAACCCACCTGCTTTCACCTTAGCTTTGTGCGAAAGGGGGATTCTTCTCTCCTTACATTTTATATATGTGTATATATATAAAAGTAATATTTGTTTTCTATCCTAATGGAAATATTTATCATATCTCAAAGAGGCATCATAGCTAAGTATTTGCGTGTTTGTGTGTGTATAGTTTAATGTGTAATTCTGTTTTTCAGTGCCTTTCAAGCTTCAAGAAGGAGAGGTTCGCATCATTCCTTTAGAACAATGCCAGTCATACTTTGACATGAAAACCATCACCAGCAGGATGCTGTGTGCTGGCTATGAGTCTGGCACTGTGGACTCTTGCATGGTAGGTCTCTCTCTAAGAAGAAACTCAGCCAGACTTGCTTTTAGAAATCAAAGTACTATGATGTTTCTTAGGTATAGCATACTTCATCTCCTATAGGAATGACAACAGTTATTTACATATTTTAACCCCACTTTTATTATTATTGGTGTAATCAACTTCAGTTTATGATAATGAAATGCTTCTTGAAGACTTTAAGGTTCATCTGTATTGGTTAACAATTAGATTGATTTTTTTTTTTTTAATTTGTACGAGCCTTTTGCAGGCAATTTTTTGTACAAATATGACAGGGAATAAATACTGGTAATGCTGTGTGCTGCTACATTGTTCAGCAGAGCAGCCCCTTTTTACAGCTGAATTACTTATTTAAGGCAAATCACTGTAGGAACTGAGACATAGCTTTAACCCTATGACTGCTGGCCATGGGTAGTCCCTATAGATAGTTTTTTTCTTTCATGTTGCAGGGTGACAGTGGAGGACCGCTTGTGTGTGAGCAACCTGCAGGACGCTGGACTTTGTTTGGTTTAACATCTTGGGGCTCTGTCTGCTTTTCCAAGGTTTTGGGACCTGGAGTTTACAGTAATGTGTCACATTTTATTGAGTGGATTGAAAGACAAATATACATCCACACCTTTCTGCTAAACTAACTCCAGATGGTAAGAATTGTGCTGACAGACAAAAGAAAAAAGGAATCAGCACTTCAACGCTGAAGATTTTGCAATCCAGAAACTCTGTGAAAAGGAGTTTCAAGCTCTGTCTATTCTTGTTGTAGAGCTATGGAATATGAAGTGTATGTTAACGGTAAACCCTCCGCTGGTGAACATACTTTGGGGTAGAATTAATAATCCTTTTGACTTTTCTTTTAACTGTGTTGTGGTGCTATTCCAAACACAGCAAAAGGTGTAAAAGAAAAGAATCAGCCACTTTCTGCCTTTCAGCTATTCAAACTAAGCAGTAGCACAGACTAGAAAAACCTTTTTAGATAACCTGTTTTAATACCACTCAATTAGTAGCATATGCATTTTCACTCACTTGTTGTCATGAGGAATGAACTTGGTGCATTCAGACGGCACTGACAGGACGTATATTCACAAGGGCAACACCAGGCATGGCCACACCATGTGCTGGAGGGCGCGGGAGAGATCAACCAGTTTGTACGTCCATGTGGCACAGAGTACATCAAAGTACACGTGCAGATCTCCAAAGGTGCACGGCGGTGTGCTGCTGGTGTGCCTGAGCTAACACAGTCTGTCCCTCAGGGTGGCTAACTTGCATGGGCATAACCCTGTACCGTCCTGACTCCACAGCTGCTGTTCCCAGAGCTAGCCTGGGTATCTCTGCAGGGTGATGGAGGGACCAGTAGGCCAACAGCCCTATAACTACCACTTGAGGCACCCGAGACCAAAAACTTAGACACTTTGGACAGTTTCTACCATGTAATTTTCTGAAGCTTCCACTGTCTTAATGTGTCCAGGAAACACCCATGTCTTGACAGCACTACATTGACTAGCCCATTTATCAAACCTATGGCCCATGGGCTTTTTTCCCTATTTTGAATACTATGTTCAGCCTATAAAGTGTGCATTGACCATCTCCAGCCCTCTAAACATGTAACAGGGTTGGCAACGCCACTGCAGCAGTTCCTCCTCCTACAGTCAGCCACATCCCAAATACTGGGAAACTGGGTATTTTTGGATAGGTCTCTTCTAGTATCTTGCATTTAAAGTTTCATTTTGCTTAGCAAGATTTAAACAATTGGGAGAAAGAAATCTGAATGATAGACAACTTGGATTCCAGCTTCCATTCAACTGAATATTAGAAATATGTTAGGCAAAGTACAACAGCTTCATCAGCAAAGGCTCAAAGAGCTCCGCTCAAGTGCTTGGTAGCCTGACAGTGGAGTGGTCTGTGCAGAAGGTAGGAGGCTAAGCCTTGACTCCCAGAGAATCCGGTTAAAAAAAAAATTTATAATGGAGCATGACACCTCTTTATGGTGCTAGAGGGGAGGTGTGTCTTATCAGCTGCTGTAGGTGCCGTCCTGTGCAGCTCACAGCTTTTGGGAGGCCAGAGCAGGAGGAGTCAGGAACCCGAGGATTACAGGATGAATTTCACCAGGGAGCAATGCAGTTAAAAATTTGTGTGTTTTCAGCGCTGTGCCCGGTCCTCTGTGAATCCAGCCTAAGGCATATAATTACCCTCTCTGCTACCCCTGGCATGCTCTCATGACAACAGGGCAGGACTTTGACAATAAGATGACTGCCATATGTGGAAACATGCATTAAAAGAGCTAACTAAGGGACATTTCAGGTACTATTAATCATGTTACAACTAATCTACATAGATCTATTTTATCTCTTATTTCCATATCTTCTCCTTTAACATGCCTAATGTTAGACATACTAGACAGCGCTCTAGACACCATTATTAATAAATATTCAATATTTATGTTACAGATTCTGAAACTATTTAAGTGAGTATTGTATCACTGTTTCATGCTCAGAAAGAAAACCCTTCTAGGCTTTGCTAGGTTTGGGTTGTTTTTTTTTTTTATATATTAAAGATTTCGTTTTTACTATAACCTATAAATGCTCTTCTTCCCCCAGCTATAAATGAGAGAAAGCAGCTGTGGCCATGTTTTACCAGTGCAAGCAGATTACAGATGAAGCAGGTTATTGATGCCCTTGCCTCAAAGATATGGAAGCTGGAGCTCTCAGTCCCCCACTTCAGGTTTTCTCTGGGGCCAGGATCTCTACAGCTGTAGGGTGGCACCGTTCAAAGTCCCGAAGCCAATTACGAAAAGTTACCAGAGTAGGGGGCCCAGGGGCTGTCAGAGCCAGCCCGCCCCGCCGTCCATCTGACGTGTCTGGTGACAGGCAGGTTTCAGTGAGGTCTGTTTTCCAGAAGTAAAAACAAAGAGGTGCTGTTGTAAAATGAACAGCCCAGTCTGATGTTACTCTACCAGATGAAGTGGTTAGCAGCTTTGAATTTTGTAAAGCACTGGCGTACATATAATCATTTAATGTAGATATTAGCATTACCAAATGATATGTAATTACACATTTTAATTAACTGGGTTTGGCCTGCCACCAGTTTCCAAGCAGTCCCTCCCAGGAAATGAGGGAGAGTCCTGCTTAAACATACGGTCCAGCCCCCTCCCGTATGGGATCAGTCCTGAAAGAAATTACAGGCTGAGCCCTATCCCAAACAGCTTTAGGAGGGAGCAGTTGGGTCTTTTCCTTTCCCACAACTGTCTGACACAACATTCCATGTAAAGAGGAAATTTGTAATTTTATAAATGTATTTTTATACTGCCTTTTTTATGTGCGCACAAGAAATAGGCAAACATACTCCTCCTTCTACTGTATCGAGCCTTTCCCTGTGTGCTGACATAACGGCTATGATCACAATTAACGCTGTTTTCTCTTACAAGTTTAGCCTCACTGTAAGGTAACAATTGTTGGTTTTACTTCTACCACAGCTGTAGCTCCAAATGGAAGCAATGTCACACAGTCAAGCAGATGTATTTCTTTCTAGCTGTACTAATAAAAATTTACAGTAATTTTCCAAGTAACTTCTCTGTTGAAAATGTGTTTTAATCTTTAGAGAGAGAGAGACTCCATGACAATATGGAGGTGTGAAGTTATAAGTTTAGCAATAATGCCTAAAAATAGCCTTAAAAAGGTACATGCATACGCTTATCTAGCTTTTTTTAAGCAGCCCTATTAGCACTACAACACTTGTGCAGGTTCTGGCACTACCAGCACTCTACAACTTTTATTTTCTTCTGCATGTATACTTCAAGTGCAGAACATTGCCAGGAATACCGCTGCCAACAACTACTTTGGATTGAAAAATCTGAAAAACTAAAGCTGCAATCAAATTTCTCTGTTCTATGGCTTTCCTCAGGAATACAATTAGTTTGAAATAACCATCTCCTTTTAACTGGTATGCAGCATTTCAACGACATGTACACATGCTGAAATCAAAACAGTAAGCATGCAAAAAATTAAAATAGTTAAAATTTGCCTTTTCACTGCAGTCAACAGTAAGGTATGCAGGACCATGAGGGCAAGAGTAACATAACCAGACTAAAACGAACAAATAATACAAAAAACCATACTGAAATTCAGCTATGAGAACGTTCTTAACAGTCACCTTCAGAACATGTCCATTAGCCTCTGCAGAGAGCAAGGGCTGGTCTGATCAGCGGCAGAGCCAGGGCTGGCAGGAGCAGTGGGTGCTCTGCGTTAGCTGATCCTCAGCCTCGTGCTGCAGCCAGCAGGGCTGAGGGAAAAACCACAGCTTGGGTTAAACATTCAGCTCAAACTGTGCCACAGGTACAGACCAAAGCTCACTGTGCTGCAAAACACTCACTCAGTAACAGCTGTGGCTGACTGCCACCTGCAAATGTTTAGCACAGGTGCAGCTGCTGTGAAAAAGATAATTTTAAAAATTGTATTTTTTTCTGTAAATCAAATATTGCACCTCAAAAAGTGAGTTAAAGCTGCTCTAAGTGTAGCTACAAAGTTTGGGGGAGTTGAAGGTGGTTTGTTTTAAACTGACAAAAGTGTAAATGCTGTGCTTTCCTTCATGACATCTGGAAGGCACCTGTGAGATGATCTTAAAAAGCTTGTTTTCAAAATGGAAAAGCCAGGTCATGCTGTGCCTGAGCACAGAAGCAAGCAGGGGATTGTGACTTCTCTAATGGTAAAAAAAAATAAAGGAAACACTCAACTGTTGAGAAGCAAAGGGAGAGTGATTCGCTTGCACCCTTCATTTGGCACCACTTTAGATATGGCCAATTAACATTTTGAAGCTTTTATTAAAGACTCACTACCCTCATCTCCCCTTCAGTGAAAAATAGCAACTGATCACAGCAGATAGCCATTAGTTATATCTGCTGTTTGTCCACAAAAAAAAAAAAAAAAAGGGTTTTACACAATGGATAATTTTATCACTTAGACTGTTTGTCAAAGTCCTCTAAAAGAACACAACCTCTAGTGGACAATTTTAAGCAACACACACCATCAGTGAAACAACACACCAAGAAAAAAATAAAACGTGTTATTTTGTACCACTTCAAAAGTACTTACAATCTCGGCACAGAGGAACTTTTAAAAGGACCTAAAGTCTCAAGGCAACCCGCAGGCCTGGCACTTCTGAGATGCAGATGAAATCATCCTTCATCCAATTTAAGAATCCATCCTGAAAGCCTCACCACGCTAAGCAGCGAGTAGTGGGGTGACAAGGCTCATAAAAAGCCACATAACAGCAATTTAAGTGTCCCAGAGGCATGCAGCTGGCCCCAGGTCTAGCAGGTGACTGCCGCTCATGTTTCTTTGTGTAGTTATTTTGATGCCACGGCTTACAGTCACAGAAGATTTTGGAAGATCTTGCTCTGAATGCTTACAGCTTTTGTGTGATACACACGTGAACTCCTGAGACTAAATGATCAGCTGCTACCTACCAAATCTGCTGCTAAGTTCTGCTCCTGCAGCAGAGCAACAGGAGGGCAGGTCACAGGCCAGTGTTGCTCCCCAAAGTCCTTTACAGTGACAGGAAGGGGAGAGAGCTGAGCCCTGCACTCCCTCAGGTCACCGCAGCAAGTCCCAGAGCTCCTCCATGAGAGCTCAACGCACCTCAGTCA